CTCTCGATAAAGTAAAGAGCTGGATCTATGATCCCGTCGGATCCGAGATCAGGATCCGTGGGATCAGATCCCAGATCCATTTTCTCGGGGATCCATGCACATGTCTGAGATGAGCCAGGGGCAAGTTTAGCCACCCCATGTTTCTCAGCTCCTATGGCGCTAATTGACTTGAGCTTCCATGTGCCGTTCGCTTACGATGCTGCAATCTTTCACGTGAGACGGCAACGTTTTCACGCTCAGCACCCGGTAACATGTGGTATCGCCCCTGATAACTAGGACATGTTTTGCCTTTAAAATGAGATGGTTGTTATCTGCGGTGCGTGGTTATTTTCCTTAGCGGGTGTCATTAATCGAAAATGGCCACGGGTGGGGCAAGATGAGCCATTTTCACCTGGGGAAGATGAGCCGGATAAGCCATTGTTGTCTCCGCTGTCGAAAACCAGACTGAGCTGCGCTTGTTTCTGCTGAATAAAAATGGTAGAAAATTGTTTTTCTTTGTTGATTACACAAGTTGTAAGTGATTTGCAGGTTAGCTGAAGGATAAAATGATTTCTTCCGTGATAGAAAACTTGACGAGCTATTGGAAGGCTTAAAACAGCCACTTTTTGATGGAGGAAAAAAAAAACTTTACCATAAGTATCTATGCCATGGAGTAAATAAAAGAGCCCACTCTTCGCCGCGCCCGGGAAAAGAAAAGGTTCGCTTTTTCTATCCATGCTCAACTTTCCCCACGACGTGTCTCAACTTACCCCGCCCATGGGGTAAGATGAGCAACGTGCAAGATGATTTTTGAGGTAGCCTTTTCAGTACAAAAATAAGCGGTATGAAACATTTCTGGCCACCATTACATGCGCAAATTGCCACTCTGTCCGTCCAACCCGTAAACGCAGAAAAATGATCAGTAAGTTAGCCTGTAGCTTACGAAAAACAAAAATGATAGGCGGTATCACAAGTGTATTCGCGGCCATTGGGGCGACGTAAGAAAAGAAGAAAACAACTGGCCCCAAGAACTTTAAATTATCAGTTAGCATGCACCTTTTCCTTGATATGTGGATAACTTACCATTAATTGTTAGAGAAAATTGCTCTAAAATCTTCCATTTATGCTTTTTTTCATCGTTTGCACAGTATGTTCTTTTACTAAGCTAGAAACACTAATTATTAATAGTTCCCGCATCATCAAGAACAATAGGAAAAGCTTGAAGTGAATACAATAATCTAAACGGTTTTGTAATCCATGTGAAGACACTTCTAAAATTGCTTGTAGAAATATTAAAGGCAAAAGTTCAACTTTTTCACAAGACGGATGGCTATAAACCTATTCAACGTGAGACAACTCAGCCGGTATTTCGCCGCCTACAGCCCAGCTTTTCCTAGTGACCGATAGAGGCGCTGCTATCGATGTCCGCCCGTGCCGCCTAACGAGCGGCTCAACTTACCTCATTCTTCCCTACGTAACACAATTGAGGGCATTTTTAGGCCATCACAGTCAGACATGTGCAATGTGCATGGATCCGAGAAAATGGATCTGGGATCTGATCCCACGGATCCTGATCTCGGATCCGTCGGGATCATAGATCCAGCTCTGTAATTTATCGAGAAATCCGTAGGGATCACAGATCCGAGTCTCATTTTTTTGCTTCAGATCCAGTGAGATCACAGATCCTCACTTATTTTTTATCAACACATATATCCCAAAAAAGCACTTGTTTCAACTCACAAACGTTCTGTTTTAGTGATTTTATGTGATCACACGTCATAATCCATAGTTTTGTGTCACTTATTGGCATAGAAACCCTTTAAAACATGGTTTCAAATGTGGTGCATAGTGGGATCCATTCAGATCATAGATCCATATTCTTAATTTATCGTCAGATCATATGAGATCATAGATCCAAGATGTATTTTTCACGCCGGATCCGGTGGGATCCGGTGGGCCTGTACTTTGCTTCGAGATCCACTGAGATCATAGATCCATCACTCGGATCCATGCACATGTCTGATCACAGTATTTGTCAACAATTGTTGTTTGGGGGACTGGGGAGGGTGGTTACTGGCTCATAATCTGTCCCCCCCCAAAAAAAAAAGAAAGAAAACGAAACCGATCATCCGCAAAAAGAACTATTGAGCTCGAACCAAGGCGACGAATCGATTTATAGGTATGCAGGATGACTAACGATGCCACTTTTTGACTTCTTGTGTCAAATAAATTCCATCATCTGGATAGCACGTCAACATTCTATTTGACATTTTGCAACAAACGTATACTATTTGGCGCGACTAGCCTCATAAATGTTCTGAAACTAAAACCGTTTCTTCGCAATTAACTTGAACCACGTTATCCCAGCTTATGCACGACAAAAATAAAATAATGCTTCAGGATCACTGGCCTGAATTCCAATGCTTCAAGTTTACTCAAAACCGGTGTGGCTGAGGCACTCTTCGCTACATCTCGTGACGGCCACCATTGTGTTGCATTTTTCGGTAAGCTATAAGTTAATAAGGAAAGGATTGGTGAGTGGGTTGAAAACAGCCCTCACCCTCCACCCCCTCCTTCTTCTGGAAACATAAGTAACCGAAAGATCTGGCGATGGTTTATCCACCTCCTCTGCCGCTGCGCTGCGAGGCCTCGATTCGTTCGGTATGCGGCTTCCTGAGCGGTCCTCCCCGGAGGCAAGGTGAAAGGTCATGGCCTGTATCAGAAATTTATACGTTGCTGAATATGTTTTATAGTTCTTCCAAGGCCTTGGACATCGTTTTATTATATCGGATAAGCATTGCACTTTCTTGTCAATCAATACATCTAAAGAAAACTTGATCATAATCTTATACTGCGGCAATTGTAGTTCTGCTTACGGTTGCCTCTTTATGATACGGGCCACCACCACCTCCACTGCGCTGGAGCTCTGGCGTTCTACCCCTCCCCGCTACGGACCGGCCCTCGGGCTAGGTGTGTTAGTACTGAGCGCAAACCTGTAGTAGTCACGTGACTTTCATTCACGTAGCGGGAACGGAAGCTATAGGCGATACCAAGGACGGGCTCTGGGGAGGCAACCGGCGCGGAAAAATAGCACGATTGTAGTTTTGGAAGAATATCTGTTGCGGTAAGAGGAATTATACAAAACATACGTCCTAGGAGCAAACATGTGTTATTCGTCCATACTTTGCACTACATTTCCTTTCTCCAATGGCCAGCACTTAGCAAATAATAGCGCAATTCTAAATTGGTAATATATGTGTACAGTAGCAACTGCGGGTCCCTGTACCCGATGAAATAATGAACACTATAATAGAAAGCGGGTGTTTTATTGACATATCATCATTTAGGTCTTAGAACCATATCGCCAATCTCGTTGGTTTTTAACATGGATCTACCTGTTTTTCATAAAAACAAATGCACGCGTCCGTTCCCAACCCGACTGCCCAAATCCAGGAGTTAGTGGTCGGTCTCAGCACCGCGTCAGTGGCCCAGGCCCCGCCTCAGCCCTGCGACAGCCTCGGCCCCGTCTCAGCCCTGCGGCGGCAGCCCAGGCCACGGTTCAGCCCCAGGGCAGCCCAGTCCGTCCGCCACCCCAGAGCCCCCTTGCCCATTGTTCTAAGACAGAATATGCCTGGCGAAGCAGGCCGCCGCTGACCACAGCCCTGCCGCCGGGTTTGGCTCGGCACCACGTCCCAGTAACGACCTGCTGCCTGTGCACAAACTGGGCAGCGCCGTGCACAGGCACCGTGCACGGGAGGGACTGGTGGGGGGCAAAGTTAGCGCCACCGGAGTCAGTGCCGTCAAGGAGAAGCGTTAGATGACCAGTTTGTTCCCATCGTATTGAACGCCCACTTCTTTGTGGTCGTCGGATGAACCGACAAGTAAATAATGAGCAATTAATAAAGCATTATGCTGACACTACAGTGTCCATGTCCGAACCTGGTCTGAACCACCTTGCTGAATGCTGATACTCATAGGTGGCGGAACGGGGAGGGCACCGGGGCACCGTGCCCCCTTTTGATTTGGGCATTTTAACATTAGCCCTATGGGCGATGCATGGAAAGAATGGGACCAAAAATCGGCAGTGCTCCCCTTAATTGAAGGTGTTCCGCCGCTACTGCTGATACTATGACACGGACTGTGTAAGGTCCTTCATACCTCCCCTCCAGTGCCCTCCGGCTCCGTCACTGCCGCCGCCGCCGCCTCGACCCTTCCTCCGCCGCCGCCGCCGCCGGCGCCGACCAGCGCTGTGACCGCTGAGCTGGCAGTTTGTGGGGGCGGCGCTGCTGGCCCAGTTGTGTTGAGCTCAGCCAGCCCGCGAGCTCAGCCACGGCTGCACAGGAAAAGAGGCTCAAAACAGCCCCCAGTAGCACCCCGGACCCCATTCCTCCGGAGTGACGTACCGGGTCGTATCACGTTCATGGGGGAGACTAGAAACGTTGACGAGCTCCGGACCGGAAGCATGTAGCTAAAGCGGTTTGCCTAATAAATTCGCAGTGACGTAAATATCTATGAATTTAATTTAGCTGAAGCTGAAGAATTTAATTTAGCTGTACACTGAAGCTTCCAGGGCAATTTATGAAGTTCAAATGGTATTAGGTCTATCCCTTGTTCCTTACACGATAAGCCAATTACGAGCATAATTAGTTAAACTTAAAATGCAATCACATGGTTATGGCGAGCATTTTGACGGAATGTTCGAAAAATTGTAGATGACGTATTAGCTAAGCTGTTCAAATAAATCCACGCCTTTGATCGCCCAAAAATAATTCATATCAACATTTTGAACCGAAATAATATTCATGCTTTCAACAAATTCAGCCATACCCTATTTAATTTCGAGCTATTTTCCAAGCTCTCAGACCTGAACCTGAGCAAATGATTATTGCCTATTCACATTATCACACTATGTGCATATAGCATTTCTATTGCTGCTGCTGGGCACAGGACGCTGCCACCTTGCAGCGGTATTCGTTCCGCCCCTCTCCGTTTCGCTGACTCGGACCTGTCTTCTGTTTCAGACTGGCAGCTACCGACCGCAGAGGGTTCCTACAGCTCGCTGTCGACCTCCTCTAACATCACTCACGTGGGCGGCGAGCAGTTCTTCTGCGAGGGCGCCGACCGGCGCCCCGTGCCACATGATCAGATCTGTGACGGCGTCAACGACTGTGAAGGCCGAGAGGACGAGACCAACTGCCACGAGTGCAAGAGCACAGGTGAGTCAGTGGGACTCCGGACTCAGCTCGAAGGGTGGGCCCAGGAAGTGATTCTATTTTTACGGTGCGTGTCAAAATCGAGTAAAAATGTCACCGTTTGAGTGGATGACCACCAATCACAGAATCAGATTACAATACAAATACAAATACAAATACAAATACAAATACAAATACAAATACAGATTCAACATACAGCTCAGGTGGGACTTTCCATTTGATGTAATACAAATATGTTGATGTCAAAATTAAAAAAGGAAATATTCTCACCATGCATGGTTACAGGGCTTGGGTTATGAGATCAAATTTGTAATTGGGGCTCTAGCCCCGCCAAATAAAACCTGTGGTTCTATAAATAGCGTCCATATAGTTCTGCAAAATTTATAGTTTCTATGGTCTCAGCTGCCTGTTGATATCTCGCACCGGCAGCGTTTATTAGGGGAGAGTGGGGTGGGTTGTATCAGTTTTTACTCCGAGACCCATAACCTCGTAACTATCCGTGATAAACTCATTATTTCCATACTATCTCCTTCCTTGATTCTTCTGCTTTTTTGTGCAAAGTAACTTTTCCGCTACCTCTACCAGTTTTTCTTCTACGGTCTGCCGCCTAGAACAATGTTTTTGATACAACTTGCCCCATGGCTTGGGTGAGTTGTATCACATGGTGGGGTAATTTGTATCACTAGGTATTTCACGTTTCAGGGAGTGTGCTTGCTACTGGTTTTGAACATAACAACAACATTAAATGGGGTTAATACAATGTATATGCTCAAAGGCTTCACTTTTATTAGACCAAACTTAGGTCAATCCGAACGAAACATCGAAACGAACGAAACATCAACAGACTAGACGCAAAAGTGGCCCGTTAAGAGCAAAGAAGCCAACACATTGTGCCGAAATGGAACGAGTATTGACTAGCTACCTATACAAACGCGAGACAGGGCTTAGCTTTCGCGATCAAAAGCAACATACCAATACATACATACATGTTACAACATACCCCACCCGGCTCTGATACAACATGTACCTCGCTGCCATCTTGGAAAAAACATCCTCGTGCTCAAAAACAGCGGACAGCTGGAGAAATCCATTTTCACTCACGCAGCCTTAGAACCTACCCTCACCACCGCTACGGAGATCTTTCAAATTCGTGCACATCTAAATGCCCAAAACACACATTTTCTTGCAACCCATTTTTTTTAGAATGACATTAAAAAAACATAAAATCGGCTCTCACCTCGAGACGCGTCCACCCAGCCACACGCCAGAACGGGGAAAGATGACGCCCGGAAAACCTCGTCGGCTGGTCGTGTCACGAGCGCTATCTATTGGATAAGTTTGGCACAATTCGCCCTGATACAACTTGGACATGATACAACTTTCCCCGCTCTCCCCTACCATGAACATCTGGTTGCAGCTGTGTTTTGCTGCTAATTAGCATATTGATGTATGTGCTGCATAGGCAAAGCTGCAAACGAGGGGCTGCATATGCGAGAGATGCTTTTTAATTGTTCCTTTGTTGCATTCGAGTATTTTGAATTTCCTTTATTGCCACATTACGGCTAAAAATGGCAACTTGTTCAAATGACATTCACGTTAAAAAAATATCCCAGTAAGTAACCAATGACGCTGGCAGCTACCAGTCCTGACGAGCTCAGACGGAGCCCTGTGATAATTGCTGACACTCGATAGTCTACATACCTTCACATCAGCGATCGTCCGGTCCGGAAACAGGGCCAAGGCACTGGACAACGAATATGACGACAGAGTCATGGGTTCGAGAAATAATTCATCGCTGATAACATTCCATTGGTGACTCAGCTGATAGCCTGCAACAATTGACTAAAAGTGTTCGAGTCACACTTCAACGCGCATCGGCATGGCCCAATGTGTAGATAATTCACATATGTACAATAGGTAATGGTGAAGTGTGAACTAAATGAAGCCCTAACAGGTACGGCCCTCCAGCAAAAGAGTGGTTGGTTAGCCCATGTACTTTTGGTGTAATAACTTTAAATGACAGAGACACTCCTGTAAAATGACTCAATAGAAATGAGAAGAGGGTTCGTGCACACATTTCGGCAGGGTTCTCAACAGCCATTAGACGTATTCACCAATGCAGATCGATTATTGTGATGTTGGCAAGTGGCAACCAACCACTTAATACCTGGAGGGCCGTGCTTGTGAGTAAGACTAACCTTGCAATGGGATCTGCTGAAATGTGTGTGTGCCCGCGGTAGAAATCAGACGGCAGACTTTTTCTTACAGAGTGAGCAAAACCTTTATGACATCTTTCACCCGCCGGTTCCCGGTACCAAATAATCCCCGTTGCACCGCGCCGGTCCACGGCTCGCGCCATGCTCTGAGCTCGGCTGCTGTGCCGGTAGATCAGCCGCCCTGATCGTGCAGAGAGCCAGGTGGCTGGCATAGCGCCGGGGGCAGTGGGGGACAGGTGACGCCGGCACAGCGTGCAGCCACCACGTGGCCGAACCAGCGCCGTCAAACGGCCGCTCATGACGGGCCCCGGGCTGCCCTCTGAGGGACCGTCCTATCCGGCCGGCACGGAGGGGAGGGGCGCTATCCTCCGCTGCACCATGCAGCGGAGAGCTTCAATGGCTGCGACAGCTGGCGCGCGCCCCCTTCATCGGCGGTTCGGCAGACCCAGCTGCCGCCGCCCAGCTGGCGTGTCAGGAAAAATGAGCTTTATGCCCCCTGTTTGTCGTTTGTTTCGCCGCTGTGTTATCCTCATAGGTGGGCTGCAATTTGTTGTTTATATTGTCGTGCCGTGCACGCGATAGGAACATACTCTCAAATGTGGCCAATATGTTCAACCGTTCAACCAATATGTATGAACTTCCTCTCTGTTCTGTTTGACTATTTCGGCCTTCGTTGCTTTATATTGCTGGCATGGGTAGGTCAGGTGCTGGTGTGCATACCAGATTGTAATCAACATCACATTATTTCACTTAGTAATTGGACATGAATCACTAAATAAAACGTTTTATTTTGTGATGAATACGTAAGCGATATGGGAAGCGTAAGTACAAATTCATAACTGATTAAATGTACGCTTAATGTCCGTTAAGAGCACCTCGGTGCAGTTTAAAAAAAAATGATCTAGCTAAATACGCTGTTTCCGTTTATAGTGAATGAAGATAATGAATGCGTATGGCATATATAATGGCAATGAACACATCAAGAAGTGTACATTAATGAATGCATGAGCACTACACACGAATACGCATTAGGTAAGTCATAGATAACATGAAACATACTCCTCTTGGTAAGGGTTACGTCGAATGAAGCTAACAAAGAGCCTATGAGTTATCGTATTGTGATATTTCGTTTCATTCTTCCCAGGTTCCGTATTTCCGAATGAAATGATAGCAAGGCTTGGCGATACTAATTTGTTGCCTGATCCTCTGGGCTCCCTAAAACGTCCAACCAGGCCCAGTGTTTTCCTTTGTTCTTTGACAGGGTACGGGCGGCACGTCTGCCACACATCACATCATGGAAGTCCCATACGTACTTCTGCGAATGAGCCCGTTCTGTCCACCTATGCCGATTCAGATATATGACCTCGGATAACTAGCGTCTGTCGGCTTCCGGGCGGCGATCCCCAGCAGTCCAGCCACTCTGTTTTATTCATTCAATTTTGCAAAGATCGGCCGAAGATCCAGGGCTTCTGTTCCATTTGCTTTAACTGGTGAGTGGAGGGTCGAGCCGAAGGTAGTAACTCGCGGCGGCGGCACCGGCGCGCCCGAGCCGCCTCCAAATGCCTGCTAACCGACCCCGGTGCGCCGCTCCCCAGCCGGGGAGGGCTGCATTGCCCGCTGTCGATCTCAGCGGAGAGTTTTCGGCGAACAAAGGTGATGTGCCGACGGGACTAGCGTCGGTAGGCCAACGGATCAGCGGTGGAAGCCCTCAGTCAGCCCGAACGGTGGTAAAGTTAATGGGAAACAGGCAATTTGTAGGACTAATCTGTCAGTAAAAGCATCAGATAGAGAGAACGGTTGAAGTTTCAACGAGGGATGCCAAATTAAAAACCAAGAAAGAGAACTGTTTAGGGAAATGTAACTTATTCAGTATCCACAGCGATGCGGGACTGTTTTACAAATAGCGCACTAGTCAGGTTTCTTTCGATCATCTGCAAATACGCGACTTCCTATACATTATACGATTTATATGTCATTTGAGAGATCATGGGAGCTTCAACAGCAGTTTTAGACGATAATTTCTAATTTGGCGTGAGTGTCCACCGTCCACCGCCCCCGTCCACCGTCCACCGTCCACCTTCCACCACCCACCTCCTGCTGGGAAGCTGCTGACGCGCTCTGCGCCTAATCAGCTGTGTCTACGTGATTATCGCCCGGTCCATAACTCGCCGGTCTCTCGGCGCTCCCCATTGTTTGGCCGGCGCGTGAGCCGCCTCCCGGGCGTGGTCTGAGCCCGGTCAGCTCACACGGGGCTGAAGGGATGCAGAGGGGGCCTGCCGGCTGCAGCGCGCGTCTCAGCCGCCCGCCGCGCGTGTCGACAGGCCGCCGGACGCCGAATTTATGCGTCCATAGGCCATTAGAACGGTTCCGGTGCGATATCTCGGCGGCTGCGGCGGCGGTCGGCACGTCGCTTCTCCCCCCCCCCCAGTCGCTGCTAGCATGCCGCCCCCTCCCGCGCCCAGGGCCGCGGCCTCCTTTGTGGCGCGCTCTATGATCGTCTCGACGGCGCCACTTTTGTCGCCAGCCGGCCACAGTCGTTCATAACTGCGACGTACGCTCGTCGAATGACTTGATTAGCCACCGCTCCTAAATCTGAGCGGTGTCTTTAGCGCCGATTCAGCGGAAAAGGGCGGTGTGGGGCGGCCGCGTTTCAACTGTTGCCGGGAGTCGGTTCCAATGAAGCGGTGACGGCGCGAGCGAGATGGTCGTTTTGGCGGGAGCTGCTGGACGTGAATGTGACAGTATTGGTGATGAAACCAAATTGGGCTCGCAAAAAGGAAATGTGGT